CCCCCCACCATGCCGATACGTTCCCATCCCCTTGTGCAGCAAGGTGTGTGTGGCGGGCGAGTATAGCGTCATGGGGGCGACAGAGTGTCTGCGGTGCGGGCCGGGCACCTACTCGGGCAAGGGCGCCGCCGTTTGCGAACCCTGCGGTCAGTCACCACACAAGTAGCAAGTAAAGACAGACACAGCAACTAGCTGTGTCTCTGTGTGAATGGATGGATGGCAGCGGCTGGTCGATTCAACCCTTCCTTCAACGTCTCGGAGTGGTCAGCAAGGATTGGTGGGTGGAGGGCTGGTCGCCCGTGCATGTGTGTGTATGTGCAGCGACCGGTGCCCACCTGGGTTCATTTCCCCACCCGGCGCCACTGAGTGCTCGCCCTGCCCCCCTGGTATGCACAAGGCTAAGCGGATTGGTATCTGTCGGCCCGTTGGTTGACGTGGCTGCCTGTTTTCTTGCTTACAGGCACCCAGGCGCCTGAGCCCGAGTCCACGAAATGCATACCTTGCTCACCTGGTATATCACGCTCACGTGTGTCTCTTTCTTATGCCCCATTCCTGTGTCAATGATGCACTGCAGGCTTCTTCAACCCACTGCCGAAACAGCGCGCCTGCAGGGTATGTGTGTGTATGGCTTTCGCACATGAATGTGTTTGTACCTGGCAGCCGTGCAACAATGAGGACGACGACAGCAGCGGCAGCAGCCATCTGGGTTTCGACTGCCCGGCCATTGATGTGACTGTAACTGTGACTGCGGGTGCGGGCGGCAACAACACAAACAACAACACCGACACCAACACGACGCTGCGGACGTACCGTGTGGCGGCCAAGGGTTTCTACAAACTCAACACCACTTCTGTCGACCTGTTTTTCCCTTGTCCCCTGCGAGATATCGTACTGCAATACACGCGTCTCATTGCATAGACACGGATGGGTGGCTTGATGGATGCTGTGGCTGGCAGGCGTGTGTGGGTTACGACCCTGTCATTAATGGAACCATCTGTGCAGAGGGACACAAAGGCGTCCTGTGCAACCAGGTCAGTGGCCTCATCACGTTTGTAACTGACTGTCTGCATCTGTGTGTGTCCATCCAGTGTCATGACGGTTGGTTCAAGAGCAGTGCAGAGACTCCCTGCCGGCCATGCCCAAATGAGGCAGACTCGCTCTCCAAAATCATCTTTGCGGTATTCAACAGCATACGAATGCGTCCATTAGCGGATGTGTATATGTGACTGGCTTGTGTGCAGTGTCTGTTGGTGACGGTGCTGGTTGGCATACTGGTGCGTCAGAGCATCAAGGCGGGGGCACAGACCAAGAGCATCCACGCGGCACTCATGAAGGTCCGCCACACCCACAACCAAAACAGAAAGAGGGGAGACACGAACCCTCCTGTGTCTGCGTGTGTCTGCGCACGGCCAGATACTTATAAATTACATTCAGCTGGCGGGGGTGGCCTTCTCCCTCTGCAAGTTCGCCCTGCCCCCCTTCATCAAGGCGCTCCTCACCACCGTCTCAAGGGGCTCCAACGATCCCACAACCACCGTCCTTCCTGTACACAAATGACTCTCAAGCACATCGCACAAAGGTTTGTCTCTCTCCCTGTGTGTACTGTATATGCAGCATGTGCACAGACCACGTGTTTCATGGAGCGTCACTCGTCGTTGGATCCTGCCTATATCAAGGTGGTAGTGGCCTTTACCCTCGCACCCATGGCCCACCTCGCTCTATCCATCATCGTCGCCATCACATACGTCGGCACACGAACGGTCGGATGGACACACCCACGAAGAACGATGCGTGTGTTGCATGGTGTTGCTGTGTGTGTTGGGTGTAGCCGAAGCCCCCTCCCCCAATCGACGACCAGCAGGACTTGCCGACGCCCACCACCAGCCTGCGGCCGTCGACACTCGCCGATGCACGACAGGCGGAAACCAACGAGACCCTGCAGGTTGGCATGTCTGTGCATCCACCAACTCATCCAATGTGTGTTGTGGCAATCAAGACTGATGGCAAGCTCCCATCGGCAATGAGCAGGGGAAGCATGAGCACCATGATGCTGGAGGGAGGAGGCGAGGGCAACTGGGTGGGGAAGTACATCGAAGCTGGTATGTGTGCACACACACACGCGCTCATGCAGGGACCATTTGTGTGCCCCCCGTGTGTGTAGGTGGCGTGATATTGGTGTTTCTGCTGCATCCGATCATCACGTCGATGTTCTTCGATGTGCTCGACTGCGTCAAATACGACAAGTACAGACTCAGATCTAACCTGGACATCGGTGAGCCAACCTGGCCCTCCCCCTACGCACATCAAAGCATGCAGTGTCTCCACATATACAGTGTGTTTCGAGGACGAGCACCACACATGGCAGATGGCGGCCATCGCCGGCATCGTGTGTGTGTCTTTTGGCATACCAGCCCTCTGTTTCATCAAACTTTACAGGCAGGCAATCACACGCCCGCCCGCAGACAGAGAGAGAGAGAGAAATGCATTCACTCTTGTGTCTGTCTCCATTTGTGTGCGCGTGTTGTGCGTGTTGTGTTGTGTGTGCAGGAGCAAGGATGATTTGGAGCAGCCGTCAGTGAAGGAGCGAATCGGCTTTCTCTACAACGGCTTGGAGACGGGCTATTACTCTTTCGAGTGCACAACACGGATGGATGTTTGATTCGCGTGTGTAAGGGAGGCTGTGCTGTGTGGGTGTTTCTGTGCAAGGGGCATCTACATGGTCAGGAAGGTCCTCGTCATCGCCATCACAGTCCTGCCGGTCAGACAACCGCACGGACAGACACATTGAATCGAATCAGGCATACATCGATCTCCCCACACGCGTGTGTGTGTGTGTGTGTCTGTAGGGCATGTCTGATGCCAACCGTCGTGCGGTGCTGCTTCTGTTCGGGGCCATCTTTCTCACCCTGCACGTCGCATGCCAACCATTCGACAACAGGCAAGCTCTATCACACACACACACATACACAGGCAGAGAGCAGTAAGACACAGACAGACACTTGTGAATTAACGTGCAGGTCGTATCTGATCCTGGACTCGACTGAAACCAAAAACCTGTGGGCACTGCTGGGCACCATCATCCTGTACCTCTTCCAGGAATCGACCAACGCAGACTTCCTGAGGGACCTTGCCGCCTATGGTGAGGAAGGACATCCCTCCCTCTTTTGCTCTCTCCCACTCTGTCTGTCTGTCTGTCTGTGATTTAGTTGTGTTTGGCATTCACTTGAACGTGATATTTGGCGTGTTGTGGGGCCTGCCCTCGACGTTCATACTCAAGAACGTCACAGTCCTGCAGAAGTACCTCGCGCACGGCATGGAACTCAGGGACGATCTCAGAGGCGGTCAGTGAGCGTATGACCCTGCGACACACGACACGATGCACATATGTCTCTATCTCTGTCTGTGTCTGTCTTTCCGTACAATCCAGGTCAGCTTGCTCCTGGCACGTTGGACATCAGCAAGCTGAGTGACAAGGAGAAGTGGTTTCTACACATCGCCCTTTGCGACACTCTCGACAGGTGACACACGTATGTGGCAAATGCTGACACGCCGTAGGTGAATGGATGTGTGTAGGTACCTGAAGGAGCCTCGACGCACCCACTTCAACGCACAGTGCCTCAACATTTGCAGTATGTAATCACACACCCACAGCGACAGTCCACTCCATCTCTGCGTGTGCCCGCCTGCCTGTCTGTCTGTCTGTCTCACTCAATCCGTGATGTGTGTGAGAAAGAGTGGCGCCGTCGTCGTTATGCCAAGCGGAAGCAGCAGGCGGCCAAGGGACACACTCTCAGGGAGAGATTTATCTCCTCCATCGTCATGCGCGTGAGTGACGCAGTCGAGGAGTGACCACACCGACACACAGATGGACAAGTACCTTCTCGTGTGCGTTCAGGCAATGCACGGCAGCAAAGGCGAGAAAGGCGCCGGCGGCCTCGACAACGACGACACGTCCGACGACGAATCAGACACCGACGGCCCCCTCAGCATCAAAACACAGATGACCGTCGAAGAGCTGCAGGTGTCCCTCATGACGCAGCCGGTGCTTCAGGCGGCAATGGACCTCACTGAGGGGGCTGACTGGCACGACACCGTCCGGACGCACTACCCAAACGCTGCCAAGCACAACCAGCACCAGAACAACGCCGCGAGAAAGAGACACAAGTCCCTCAAGCTGACGTCACCGTCTCCCCCTCCAACGTACATGCAGCAGCCAGAAGGGGTCATCGATCCAGACACCGACGCCCTCCCAGCCTTTCTGCAGTCGTCGAATGCGTCCACGACGGCCATGGCCACGGCTGGCACCAACCGTCATCAGTCTGTTGTTCTGGTCGTGCCCACAGACACAGAGGGAGAGGCCGAGAAGGCCCATCAGCAACAAGGAAATGAAGATGGGAACAAGGGTCCGGCGAAGTTGCGGGGCATAAGGGATGATGATCAGAGGGTAAGTGAGCTCTGTATTGTGTGACGCGACAAGGTGTATGACCTGTGTGCTGTTTCTGTTGATGGCTGGCTGGCTGGATGGCAGGACGAGTATTTCGCGCACATGATGTTCGGGAAAGGAGACACCTAAAAAGTGGTGGTGTGGTGTCTCTCCTTTGCACATATATACGATAATGCATGTGGAGGGATCGTGCTGATATCCGTGCCTCTGTGCTCCCTGCTTATCGAAGCATGCAGATCCATGCCTCTCCGTGTCGGCTGCTCTCGCTCTTTATCGATGCACGTACATATGTCTCTATACATGTACTGCACTCGTGTGCTGAATTCCCCTACTGCCATCGCCACACTATAAACAAACACACGAAGTCGCAGATCCAATATCCCAACACCAACCTACAGCAATGTCAGCACCACTTCATAGCTCAATCTGGAACTCTTCCACCACCTTCATCTCCTTCTCCTTCCCCTGCAGTGGCATCGGCCTATCCCGCGCCTTTTCCCCTCTCCCCTCCCTCTTCCTCCTTGGCGGAGCGATTGGCTTCCCTTCCGCTTGTCTATTCTTATCTTCTGTACTCACCACAGGGGCGGCCACGGGGGGCGCCGTGGGGTGGGGCTTCCTTTGGCCTCTCCCACCGTCAAATCTCCATGTTTGAGTTTTGAAAGTGGGAGAAGGGGGCTTTTGGACTTGTTTCTTCTTCTCTTCTCCAAGGACGGGCGGGGGAGGGGGAAGGGGCAATGGTGGAGGGCCCAATAGCTCTATTTCCTCTTCTTCAGATGCTAGTAGTTTCAGCGGGCATCTTGGCACTCGCGAAAAGGAACAGCCTCTCTTGGGGCCTTGCTCTAGGGTGTATGCCCAGTCTGCATGATCTAATACATAGAGGCGTGCAGTCTCTCGTGCCCGTGTTGCCACTCACCTTCTATTGCGTGGTTCATATCCGATCTATATGTGAGTCGGAAGACCGTGTACGCGCCGTCAAATTCAGTCGCCTCGCCCTGCCAGCCAAGTGAGCCAACCAATATTCAGCAGCATTCTGTGTGTACGGATGAGGTAAGAAATGAACACGGCCCACTTTGTCCTCCTTGCAGAGCATGAGCGTGCTGTTTGTCGGTGTGCCGGGCCCTTCGCTCCCGCGTGGCCGCACACACGCCCTGGTGCCTTTGCAATTGCTCGACTCACGGCACGCTGAAGAAACAAACAAGACGTAGACATACATACATACGTATACACCGAAGAAGAACAGCTGCTGACTGACCAGGTGGCTCCTTTGGTCTGCCCCTTGGGCATGGCGGGGGGTGTTCGAAAGCGCACCTGTGTGTCTCCCCGCTATCCATTTCGACAACAATGACACGGGACCAGCCACTTAGTTGTGTAAGAAAATGGTCATGCATTGTGTTGTGTCTCTCCCTACCTGAGTTCATGTCGACCGCGGGAAGGCAACTCAACCATCAGGGTGAAGATGTCCAGTGCCCGGTCATGCTTAAAATCCACCTCTTCGGCCCACACCGTCCCCTTCGAACGCACATCCGATTGTCACTCCCGTATATGTGAGCCGTGGAGTATCTGTACCAGGTCAATTGAGCCACCGCAGAGCGATAGCTCGCCACCTTGGGTCTTACATGCCGTCACCGATGCACAAGGGTCGCCCGCCATTTCCGGACTTGGCAGGCTCGGCACATACCCGCTCGTGCACCCTACAAACAACGATCTGCGGATACTCGATGTCTCCGTCAGTCGCACGCTTACAGCCTGGTTGTTCGGGTGGTGGTTCGGGAGGCCGTTCGGCGTGCACGTGCGGGCACCGCGGCAGCCTCTCAAACGTGCAACCGGCGTCCTTCGAATCCTGGGGAAGTGCCCATTGGTCCTCACCGATTCTTGCCAGTCTCGCCACTTCAAAGGGCCGCTGTTAGTCGGCATGGCAACACGACAACCATCATCTGCCCACCAAGCAACAGGCGCTTTCTTTGTCACCAGGTCCTTGCCAGTGCACACGACGAGCGCCGGTTGTTTGCTGGCGGCCCCTTGTGGGTCATAGCACGCCGTCACATCGTTACACGCATCTGATTCCGAAGTCGACCTCTTGCAACCTGATATGGACAGAGGGTGACACATCATATGCCTCTCTCTCTCTTTGTGGATTGACCTTCGTCTTTGCGTGGTCCTTGCTGGCAAGGGGTGACGTCTGCAAAGGAGCATTGATGTTGCTCCTTTAGAATGTCCACGGTCACGTCGGCAGCGTATGCCCGCTCATCTTTCTCGAAGTCGGCACTGTCGAGGTAGCCCTGCGCCCAACCATGCACTCGGAGTGGAGGTGTGCATTGTGATAATGTGGCGGCGACATGCACAATACCGTAGTCGATGCGCCGCTGCATACGAAGAGGTTTCCATTGATATTCCTGCACGCTGTCACTGACGCACACGGGTCTTCAAGAGCATCAAAGGGTGCTTTTGTGGCTGTCCAGCCGCGCGAGCACGCTGAATGACACAGCACATGCTCAGTTTATGTGTGTCTGGCCCATGTATATATGTCGGATGGCTGGCTTACTCAACTCTTGTTTGGCCAGCTTGTCTATGTCCTCTTGTCTGCACGTGTCTATGGGGCTTGCAGGGGTGTCGTCGTAGAAGCAGTTCTGTGTATACTTCCTCCGCAGCCCCAGTGTCGCCAACACGTAAATAGGGAGGCCGCGGCTCGCCGTCGGGGTCTTCGGAGAGGCCCTCTGCACACATCAACACACGAAGGACGTTTCTCGCTCCATGATAGACCCATAACCCAATTTTCGGTATGTATATCGGCTAGGTCGGCTTACCCCTCTGGGCTTCATATCTGTGCCGCATTCGTAGAGTCGCGGCATTGGGTCGGGAAAGTCGTGGTACAGGCACACCTGCGGGCACTCTTCGACATCCGTTAGAGGCATTTTGCAGCCACCCTCTGGCCCTGCACATCACCGCACACATGGTTGTGGGCACGGCATGGCTGGCTAGATGCTTTGTCCGCTTACTGTCGGCCGTCCTGTGGAAGTTGTCAAAATATCTCCAGATGGCATTCTTGTCACATTCTGGCGACTTTTTCCTCACGAAGCGGCACTTTTTCTCCTCACCACCTAGCAGGCCAGTGGATCCGAGCGACACCTGTGGACACATGCACGCACACGCGCGAATGCAAGCAATAGGCACACGCGCGAATGCAAGCAATAGGCCGCGTGCTTTCGCACCTGCACGGCTTGGGCGGGCAGATTTTCCGGCAGGTCCATTCTCTTCTTCTCATCTTGTGATAGCTGGGGGGGTTCAGGGTCAGCCTCCAAGGTGTAATACCCCTCTCTCTGCCAATGCACAGAAATCTCACATATATGAGTCAGGGAAGGGAGAGGGAAGGAGGAAGCTCTGTGGTGTGCCCAGAGACGTACTGACATCGATCTGGCCGTCAGGTGTGCATCGGAAAAGGTGCTGACCCTGCTCGGACCACGTGATGCACGCCGGGCCCCTGCTCGCAAACTGCACACACACACACACACACACGCAAACACACCCGCACACATTATGATGTGTTGACACGCGGCGGTGTCTCTGTCTGACCGCTGTGCATTCCGGGTCCTTGTGAGTGGTGGTTCTGCACAACTTGCATTTGCGTGTCTGCTTGTCGTTGAGGCTGCTGTTCAGCATCGCACACGACCCTGCAACCAACGTCATAATACAACTTGAAGCCATCATTTGAAGACGTTCTTTTCTCTTTACCCTGTGTATCAGGCGGAAGCTTCTGTGTGGGTGTGTCATGATGTCTGTGTGGGTAAAAGGCGGCCGACACTATGGCAGCGAGGGCCGCCAACAGACGAACATGCGACAGCATGCGAGACTAAGCGGGGGGGGAGGGGGCTCCGCGTCTCGTTTACACAGATGCCAGGATCTCCTGCGGCCACATGAAAGAAGCCGTTTCGGGTCTCTCCCCCGCCCTGCTGTCCGCATTTCTCGTCCTCTGCATCGGCGTGGGCATTCTGTGCTTCCAAATCGGCCTCTTATCGCATGGTGGAAAGCCACCAACACGGCGGCTGCCCTGAATCAACCGGAAGAGCAACAGCAGCACAGATCCAGACCAAGATCCACCAGATCAAGAGGACAATCCGCCGGAGAAGGACGCCATGATTGCAGAGATAAGAAGAAACCCGCCGATGAAGGCGATGATGCCGCCAGCCGAGTTGGAATTCCTCGAGAAGACCCTGCAGACCCTCCACAGCGGCCAGGTGGCACTCGAGTGGGGCTCTGGTGGATCGACCTTCTTTATCGCAAGGTGAATGGACCGTATACATCGTAAGGTGGTTGAATGCTCTTTCTTACACGATTTGTGTGGCACACATGTAGCCGCGTGAATGTGCTGTATTCGATTGAGAACCAGCCGAGGTGGTGTGACGACATGGAGAGGAAATACGCCGATGCTATGAACACGCTGAGGGCGGCTGGGAGGCTGGTGTACTTATGTGCAAACCGGTATCAGGCGTGTTTCTTTCCCTCTTTCTCTATCTATCCCTCTCTCTCTCTCTCTGTCTCTCTCTCCATGTGTGTGTGTGTGTGTGTTGATGAGTGTGTAGGTACGCGCCGACAGCTCAGTTTGGCTACCCCGCGGACAGCCCCGAGAACGCCCTCAAGTACTTCTTGGCTTCGTACATTGAAGTTATGGACACGGTGGCTGCCCTTGCCAAAGTGACCCATTACGACTTTGTGCTGGTCGACGGCCGGTATCGGCTGGCGTGTCTGATGCACGCCCTCAAGTACATTGACGCCGACACGAAGGTGCTTATCCATGACTTTGAGCGCTTCAAGGTGACTCACCTAAGGCACCGACAGATGCAGAACGAACAGTGTGTGTGTGTGTGTGTGGTTGCCATGCAGGAAGACATATTGACACATTTGCCGAACACTTATGAGCTGGTGGGCGAGAGCCCTTCGGAAGGTCAGCGGCTGGGGTTGCTGCGGAAGAAGGGCGGAGCGACTTTTGAGAGCGAGGAGGTGCAGAAATACTATGCCAAGATGATCCTGTCACCAGGACCGTAGTACATAGCTATTCAGCAAACGGAAAAATGCCGTTGTCGTGTGTCTGTCGTCCGCTCCGTGTGTGTACGTGTGCGTGTGTGTGTGTGTCTGTCTGTCAGCAGCCGTCCGTACACGCAAACACTCAGGGCCCCATCCATGGGCATGGATCTCTGTCTGTCTGTCTGTCTGTGTGGCTAAGGCGTGCTATTCAAGTGGTGCTGCAGCACAGGACGAAGGTCGCCGACAATAGATAGAATCGTAAGGGCGGGTCTCGACTACGGCGGCCTGTAGTGGTTCCCCTTGTTATCCCACACGTGCAGATCCACCCCCCCGTCAGGATTTCCCATATCGAGCACATGAAGCAAGTTGGGGTGGGGAGTCTCACCTACACACACACACGCACTCAGGTCGGCGTCTGTGTGTGAGGTGTGTGGGTGGTGTCTCTCTCTCACCGAGTAACATGATGTATCCCCTCTCCTGGATGGGCACGCCAGTCTGCTTCCGCCGCTCTTGTATCGACAGCAGCCAGCCTGCACCACACCACACCACACAGTCACACACACGTATCCACCCCGTTTGTTTTGTTTGGGTGCCTCTGACTGACGCACCAGAAGTGAGCGTGTAGAACTTCTTGGTCGGCGCGCGACGCACCTGAAGGAAATGAAAGAAGCGAGACGATGCATTCGCACTCCCTCCCTCCGTCTGTCTGTGTCTACCATGTTGTTGTCGACATCGAGAATATCCACAGCGAGCACATTGCCCAAGACCGACCCCTCGACATAGTAATACACACACAGCGCCCCACCCCCACCGCCACCGCCTCCCCCAACCCGCCCCCCATCCACATAACCCACATAGACCGGCGCCCTCTGCACGGGAGTCCTCAGCTCAGGAATGTCCAACACATGACAATCGCTGACCGACCCCCTTCTGTCACCATCGTCATCCATGGAGTACACACGCACGCAGAAAGACGTCCGCCCGCCCCCTTTGTGTGGCGCCACAAAGAACACCCGCCTCCTTCTCGCGTCGATGGCCACCAGCCCGTCTATTGGGCTGCCACAGAAGGTGTGGTTCGATTGCCGGCCGGCGTCGGCCAGGTCGTTCACAGACGATGTGGCGCTCACGACGGAGAGGCAGCGCAGCGGCGGGCCACTACCACTACCACTAGCCCCTTTCTCTTTGTCTGTGTGATTGTGGTTCTGGCTCTTGCAGGCGTCGCACTGGTCAGCAGGGGCGCTCCGCACGCCGACATAGCACACGGCCTCCCCCTCGCCCTCCCGCTCCTCAGCAGTCGTTGTGTCATGACACATGGCGTTCTCGTAGGTGACTTGCAGGGCGATCATGTCGTCCATGCCGCCCTTGTCCGCCGGCGAGAAGAAGTAGGTCGACTGCTCCTGCTTGGGATTGGCGGCGTTGCTGAAGAAAGACGTGTGTGCCTGCCACACACACACACCAAAAGAGCCAACAGCCAACACACACACACCTCCAGTCCATGGATGGACTAATCGTCGACGGATGTGCGGCTGCCTGAAGCTACCTGCGAGGTGATGAGGGTGGCTGTGTGCTGCCGCTGCTTTGTGTGGAGGGTGGCGTTGAGCGGGAAGTGGAAGAAGGAGGAGGGCGAGGGGGGAGAGGGCGACAGGTGGATGGCGCCGAGGATGGTGTGCGGGTCCTTGGTGAAGCTCTCAAGGTCAAACGGATAATGCTGCACCACACACACACACACACACACACAAATGGATGCACACACACTCTTCCTCTCCCTCTCCCTCTCCCTCTCTCCTACCTTCCTGGGCATTTTCTTCTTGTTTTCAATCATTGTGACATAGTGGTCGTGCTGTATCCTCATCAGAAGCATGATACAAATGAACAGCATCACCGTCGCGCAGAATCGTGCCGACTGCTGCCTCTGCGCCGCCGTGGGAGATCCGGGCATCCCCGGCGGCCCTGGACCTATCGGCCCGCCTCCCGTGTCGGGCAGTGTGATGACGTACATACCGACCTGCAGACTTCTGAAGCAAGCAACAAACAGACGGTTCGTGGTGGGGGATGTGTGTGTGCTGTGGAGGCGGGTGTCGGTGCTGCGTACCTGAGGAGCGGAATCCACCCCGGCGCGTGTGCGAGCCTAGCTTGCGAGCTTCCATAAAACCGCTCACTTTGCGAAGAGAGGGAGAAAGAGGCGGGAGGAGGTTGCCCGCCGCCATGGTCTTACCGGCGGATTTCTTCTGGAAGTACTTTCCGGGCTTGACCCGCGACAAGGTGGTCTTCCAAAACAGATGGTGCCTCGGATGGTTCACGGTGGGATGGGTAAGGACAAAGCCACACCAACGGCACACCAACAGCACAGCACAGCACGGCAGCCAAGACGGCAACAGCGCAGAGCACAACGATGGGGCTTCGTCGCGTGATCTGTCTGTTTGTCTGTTTGTCTGTGGTGTGCGTGTGTTGGCATCAATCAGTGCTGGATCATGGTGTGGTGCCACCCACCGGAGTACACCATGCTGCCGAACAACCCTGGTGGGCGGAGTCGGGAAGCTGGCTGGCACACACAACAGACAGTGCAGCAAGGGCTGGGTGCAAGGCAGTGAGCCGTGTGTGTGTGTTTGCCTGTGTGTATGTGTCAGGTCCGTGGTTCAAGTTCTGCTGCACACAGAAGTGGAAGCGGGGCGAGCTGACCGACAAACAGTAGGGAAAGAGCCGCATCACCTGCGGGGGGCCGCCCGGCACGCATTGGTGTGCTGTGTAATGTGTGTGTCTGTAGGTATGAGCATCTGATAGTAGGCGACATGCGTGGCGCCTACCACACGCCCAAGGCCGCCACAAACAGATCATACGTCGTACCCGGATGGGTGTTCGAGTAACCACACCCCTCCCACCACACACACACAAGGGATGGGGAAGGGAACTTGGGAGGGAGGGTGGGGGGACACTCACCCGCCTAGGCGTGTTTCAACAACACAGTGCACGACGGGCGATTTTGCTCGTGTGCGTGTGCGTATGGTGGGTGGTGAGTACGCAGTGGTCTGTCTGTTGTGTGTGTCTGGCGTGTGAAAGTGAGGGGCTGGCTGAGCTTGTCTGCCTGTCCGTCGGGTGATCTGATGTTGGGTGTTCATGCGTCTGGGTGCTCCCATCTCGTCTGCACGACGTGCACCTGTGTTCGTCGATGTGTCGAGGCATTGATGAGCAAAGGTGTCAGGCCGGCTGATAGAAGTGGGACAGCCAGACAGCGCGCACCCAAAACAGATGTGTGTGTGATGTTTTTCTCCTCCCATCCCGTTCTTCTGCTGCCAACGAGGTGGATGTTGTCATGCAGTGCAGTGCCTCATTCTTGCTGAGAATCGTTCAGTGGATCGACTGTGGGCGGTGGCTGCTTCCACCGTTCGTGGCTGATCTGCTGAGGGAGGTGAAGCAAGGATGAGGGCGGCACAGCGGCAAGGAGACACCGGCCGGTGTGGATGGATGGACGGCCGGCCAATGTGTGTACTAGTATTGTGTACGTCGTGTCGTAAGTGTGCCGCGACAGACAGACCGTTCGTCCAGACCACTCATTCCCTCGTACGTACCGGGCCGTTACCTCAAAAGTTTTTCAGCACTACCTCAGTCTCACCCGAACGTGAGGCACCACACACACACGCACGACAGCCGATCCCACCTATCTCTATACTATCCCACCTATCTATACTATACATTACATGCGGCTCATTCGCCGCAATACGACAGACACTGCGGCACATCCATCCATACAGCCATCACCCCACACACCACATACCGTCCCAAGCCGTCCGTCCATTCCTCAAAGCGAGACAGACATACGAGCTCATATGCCACGAAAAATGAGGGCAGCCCGCGGCAGAGATCAGTTAGTCACTCTCCATCCCCGTCTCTCCGACCTCATCCTCATCCTGTCTGCGCCGCTTATTCGCACGTCCACCATCACCGGCGGCGGCGGCAGCAGCAGGGGCACTGTCTCTGCTGCTGCCCTCCTCTCTCTCCCTCTCCCTCTTGATTTCCTGCTTCACTTCCTCCTTCATCTGCTGCTGCTGCTGCTGCTTCCGCTGCTTGTGTCTCTCGAGCATCTCGTCCCTTCTCTTCACCGCCAGCCGCAATCCCTCCCTGATGGCCTCGGCGGTGCGGCACTTGACCTTCACGGTCCCTCTCTCCTTGAGCGTGTTGGTCGGCTCGCGCTCGGCCCGCAGCGACTTGGGCAGCGACCACGCCCAGCTCCCAGGGTTTCTGGGCTTGCCGAACGCGGTTTGCCGCGGCTTCCATTTGATGCCGGTGGTGTGTTGCCGTGTGGGCAGCGGCGGGGCCAGGGTGTCCTTGCCCATGAGGTACTCGGCGACGAGGCTCTCGTTGAGGCGGTCGAGCACTGACCGAGGGCAGCAACATCAGTGTCAGCCGTGATTTGGTGTGGTGTCTGTCTTTTGTTAGTCGTTGCATACGTTGAGGGAGGGCCCCGTAGGCCTCGTCAGTGAGAGGGGGGACGTCCTTCATCTCGGGAACGAATAGACGCCTCTTTGGCGTGTCATCTGGCCTCGGAACATCCTCTGGCACACACACAGACACACAGAAACACAGAAACACTACTGCAATGGAAACATCCAGCGACCGCCATCGTGCATGCCGCATCTCACCCTCGTCAAAATTCTGTTCGTCGATGTACTCATCAGCGCCATCGTCACCGTCCGATTCAGAATCCTCTTCCTGACCTTCACTCTCACTCATGGAAACCGCTCCCTTGTCCTCGCCCTTGCCCCTGCCAATCCGCTCCATCTCGCCGCTCCCCTGACTCTGAGACTCGGTCTTCTCAGAGTCCTCAAATTCCCCGGCTGCACCCGCCCGCTGATAGTCCTGCTGCTCGCGTTGGCCTTGGTCTTCTTCACGTTGAGCAGCAGCCCCAGCGGCGGCATTGGCCGCATGGGCGTCGTCGTGATGCTGCTGCTGCTCTCCCACGTCATCGTCTTCTATCTCGATGATGAACTGGTCCTCTACGTTCGGCTGATGACCAGGGTGAGGGGCAGCCTCAGGGTGGGGAGCTGCCGCAGCAGGGAGCCCTGCAGCACACAGACAGACGTGAATCCACACAGACAAATGAGTGACTGATACCCACCTCGCAGAGCGGGTTTGTACGGCTGCGGCCAAATGATGCTCTTGTCCTCGATGGGGTCCATCTTTCCCTTCCCCCTTCTTTGCACGCTAAGCTCGCGGAGGGACTTTCCGTAAAACCGCTCTCTCGGAGGGAGGAGGAGGAGATGGCCAAAAGGCAAACTGTGTGGGTGCCCAAGAGCAAGACAGCATTGCCGCAGGACTCTCACAAGGACAAGAAGACAGATGAGCCAATACCTGTCACCGATGAGCCACCGCCATCAGATGAGCTGCAGAATGAGGAGCGAGAGGACATCGTGCTTGACGAGGGTGAGCGCGAGGCCAACGAGAGGGCGCAGGAGGATGAGATTATGGCACTGGAAAGCATCTACATGGAGGCTTTTAAAGGTGGATTGGATTGGGTGGGCGTCATTGTCTTGTCTACTCATCTATCTCCACGCTCACTCGACGGTGCCTGGTGTCTGTCTGTTGTCTGTGTGCGTCATGTGTCTGCAGCCATATCTACTGACAAGAGCCCTAGAGTCTTCCAGCTAGACGTGGAAGTGAGCGGCCGCCACAGACACAGACACACAGACACCCCCACACACACATCCCGCCATGTACTCGCCTGTCTGCCTGTGCAGGTGACCTTCCCCGACGCGCCATCGTCGGCCGACGCCCCATCCGACGAGGCGATCGACGTCATCGCTCGGTTCGAGGAACCCTCCGCCCAGCACCACCCCAATTACGCAGGAGATGAGGACCACCCCGACCGGCTCAGGATAGAGCAGCAGGACGTCCCCATCGGCCGCGTCCGTTTCCTCCCGCCCCTCTCCCTGCACATCGTCATGCCGCCCGCATACCCCTCGAGGAGGTCGCCCTTCTTCACTTTGTCGGCCATGTGGATCGACAAGGGGGCCGTCGGCAGGCTGTGCAGACGGCTGGACCAGCTGTGGGAGGAGGAGGGGCCTGGGAGCCCGATCGTCTTCACTTGGGCAAAGTGAGTGGGTGCGTCATGAGAATGAATGAGAGATGGATCGATCGGTGCGGTGTGGTGTGGTGGTCAGTTTTTTGTCCACAGATTCGATGGGCTATTTATCGATGGGGCGGCTGATTGTCATCGCTCCGTTAAGGGAGGAGGGTGGCGACGGCCACACCACAGGCGACCCCCGGGCGATGCAGGAGTGCGCAGACGTGGGCGTGTGTGTGGAGGAGCTGCTGCGATACGACGCCTCTCGAGAAGACGTGGAGTACCGTTCCACCAAACACACCTGCATGGTATGGTGGGTATGCATGCATACACGCGGAGCGGCATGGCGTAGAGTGTCGACCATCCATCCATCCATCCATCAGATATGCTTTGACGTGATGCTTGGCGAGAGGATGGACCGACTGCCCGGCTGCCGACACGCCTACTGCACTCAGTGCCTCGCAGGCCTCGTCAAGACACACGTCAAAGTCAGCACACCCCCTCCCTCCCTCCCTCCCTGCCCCACACCCACACCCACACCCACACCCACACAATCTCTGTGTGTGCTGCACTGCAGGACGGTGCCATAAATCTGCTGCGCTGCCCGGAGCCGTCGTGCGGCCGTTCGATTGACCCCGAGGTGCTGCATCGCCTGCTGGATGAAGACGAGTATGAGAGGTGGCAGCGGCTGTCGCTGCAGAAGGCATTGGATGGCATGGGCGACCTGGTCTACTGCCCGAGATGCGAAGCGCACAGGAACGAAAACACGGTAGGTATGTGGGTGAGGGAGGGAGGGAGGGAGAGGGAGGGAAGGGGCGTGACTGACCGACTGATGTGAGGTGGGTGCATTGCATCAGGCGGTGCTGGAGGACGCAGATCACCTTGCGCGATGCCCCAAGTGCCACGTAAGAGAGAGCATGCCTGTTTGCATCATGTGAGCCAGTGGCCACGGGTCGTTCTCTCCGTGTGGTGTGTCTGGCGGTCAGTTCGCCTTTTGCGGCATCTGCCGGGCCGAATGGCACCCCGGCACTGCTTGTCTGGACCCCGAGCAGCTCCTCGAAGTCCTCGAAGCCAGATCTAAGGGCGACAAGGTCTGGCTTACTGCCAGAAAAAGGCCTGCTCGTGCGTCCACCCATCTGCCATGTGTGTGTGTGTGTGTGTGTGTGTAGGCGTATGGCGAGGAGGTACTTCGTCGTGAGCAGAACTTAAAGCAAGAGGCCGAGAGCCTCAAGACCATTAAGAGGGAGGCCAGACAGGTGAGAGAGACGGAGGGAGGGAGGGAGGGAGGGAGAAACGGATGAATATGCGACCCTGTGTGTGTGTGTGTTCATTCAGTGCCCGACGTGCGGTATGGCCATTTACAAGACGGAGGGGTGCAACAAGATGGTCAGCCTACTCACACACACACACACACACACACATACACGAGGCCAATATGTCACGCGCGCGCGCGTGTGTGACATGCATCAGAAGTGCGAGCAGTGCTACACCAACTTCTGCTGGAAGTGCCTCCAGCCAATCAGCGGGTAGACATCCACACATCCAGGCAGACACGCATTAGATATCTGCTGTGCCCTGCCTGCGTGGTTGGTGAGGTGAGTCGTTCATATATTCGCTTCTCCATGTGATGTGTGTGCGCAGGTACGAGCACTTCGCCAACAATCCCAACTGCAACCTCTTTGACATGGAGGAGATTGAGAGGTGGAACAGAATGATGAGAGGCCTCAACCACCCACGGTACACAAACAGACAGACACACAGACAGACAGACAGACACACAGACATGGATGGATGGATGGTATGTGTCAGTGGTCCCCTTGGCCGCCCCGTCGTCCGTCGGCACCCCCAATTCGAAGACGACGACGACGATGAAGATGACGACGATGAGGTCTAGCCAATGCATTCACCCACCTCACCCACAACGCACCCGCACAATGCACCACACCGTTGTCTGTGTGTGGGCGCAGGATTGGGAGCTGATGGACGACGATGACGATGAGGATGACGGCGACGGCGACGGCGACGGCGACGGCCGCCCGGAGGGGAGACTGCGGGCGCCACGACGACCTCGGCGGGGCCACAGGGCCGCCGGTATGATGCTGAGGATACGCCAGTGCCCGCAGTGTCACTCGCGCAACCAGAAACAAGGAGCCAACAACCATATCATGTGTGTACACAACAAAGAGAACAGACCCGCACATGACCATCAGTCTCTCTCTCTCTCTCTCTGTGTGTGCGTGTGTGTGTGTGTGCAGCTGCTGGGCGTGTCGCGCCAACTTCTGCTACCTGTGTGGTGCCAGGCTGCAGGGCAAGGGCGCCATAGGGGCGCATTTTGGCCTTGGCGCACGGTGCAGACAGCACACCAACGATTGACTGTCACAACAGAGACAGACAGAGAGAGGGCCAATAATGCCCTATGCGCTGGATGAATGGATTATCCTCTCCTCTGCTGAGTCGAGTCAGCTTTGCTCAGGTGGCTGGCCTGGCTGCTGTGCTGCCTTTTGTGATGGGGAGGGGAGCGGGAGGGAGAGGGGGGGACACTGTGAATATGTCTTGGTTTGTAAGTTTGCTCGTGCTGCGTGCTGGGCGGCGGTTTTGTTTGTTTGTTGGTCACTGGTTGCTTGAGTCGAGTCGACTGACGGTGAGAGTGACGGAAGCTGCGTCGCGTAGTGGGTGGCTGGATGGACAGATGGATAAGGAAGTGTTGATCCGTCCGTCACACCTTCATTCATATCATCATTACGATAAAGGTCCTAATTGATTGCAGTCACTCACTCTCTTTGGGGCATACAAACAAACAGGCAGCAAGGAAGGACACCAACACAAATGAGATGAGGGCACCTAGAGACTCTCTCTCCACACACACACACACAGGCATTTATCCACACACACGTGACTATCTCACACACACACACATATTATATACATATACGCGGTACAAACGAAAGACATCTCTCTCTCTCCACACACACTACAGAACAGGGCACACAACCACATAACAACCACACACACGCGCACACACACACTCACCATGAGGCCATGATGTGCACACCAATCCTGTGCAACCAACCAACCAATCACGCCACTCATCTGCACAGCTTTCTTCGCATCCATTGCGTCCATTCCATTCCATTCCATCACGTCACGTCAAGCACGTCTGTTTAAATCACAACCAGCACCACTTTCTTGTCAATTACACCATCAGTCAATTACACCTCACAAATATGGCTGTCTGTTCTGTCTGTCCGCCCCAGCAGCACAGAGCGCACTCCACTCCCGTCTCTCTCTGCAGACACCTAGTTTAGTTACAGACCCACACCACACACAGAGACACACACTTCCAACCAACCAACAGACAGACAGACGAGAACAAGTATCTATCGAGCAGAGAGGGGGCGGAAAAAGGCCGCCGATCCACCTCACCTATCGGCCCTACAGCACTCGCACTCTGCCACAAAAAGGCTCCGCAGGGCTGCAGTCGGGAAAGATCTTCCTGCTGGCGTCTCTTGTATCTTTCTTCTCATGACCATCATCCTGACCACTCTCACTGTCACTGTCAGCATCTTCAGTGTGTTCCGCTGCCGGCGCCGTGGTCCTCTCCTTCTCGGCCACCACCTCCACCTCTGTGTGCTCCTCCCACCGCCTCCTGAGCGACTGCACCTGCTCCTCGTCAACCCAGGCCTCGTTGTTATTGCTCGACGCGCTTTCTGGCGCCACAGTCACATCACTACCACCCTCCAGATCTGCATCATCAGACCCATAGGCGTCCAGATCATCGGCTCCTCCCATCGGCAGCACATAGTCGTCCTCCTCCCCCGCAGCAGTCAGCAGCAGCTCGTGCGCCCGCGCACCGTCGATAGTCCCATCGCCGCCCGAACACGCCCTCGACCGCACCACGTTGGACTCCTTGATGACCCCGCCTTGATCGTCGAGCGCCTCGACGCGGTACACAAAGCACCCAGCCTCAGGGTCGTACTGGCTCCACGACGGCAGGACCGTCATGTGGATGTCGGCCTTCTGCGGGTGCCAGTTGATGGACTCGAACTGCAGCGACCCAATGGCAGCATTTGCAGATGTGGCCGCCTGCTGTGTGTCGTCGGCCTCGGCGGCCTTGACTGTCCAAGAGGCCACGTCGTCAGATCGGTCGTCGTCGATGCCGAGAGAGGATTTGCCGTAGAAGAGGGCGAGGGCGTCGCCCTCGGGGGTCTCGCTGAGTGTCAGCGGCTGTGCGTGGCTGAGTGTAAGAAGGGCAATGACAAAGAGCAGGAGGAGGCCCTGGGAGAAGGTGCAGAGGGGTTGCTGCCGTGGCGTTGCCATCTGTACTCAACTGCAAAGCACTTCGTGAGCTGAACAAACACAACCGCAGCCACAAGATCCCGACACCGACAGAGATCTGCACACAAGAGTTCGCCTCTTTCCAGTGACGTCGTTTCTTACGAGGCAGACAGAGGGGAGTCGGTGCGGCTGTCGGGACGTCTGCCGGGCACTGCAAATCGCCAGCCCGACCAGGCAAATCTAACGGCTAAGCTCGCATCTGTGAGTTGCGCGCTCTCTCCCGCGCTGGTTTGCGACGAGGTACGTCCACACAGCACTCGTGCAACGGAGGAGCACCTTTTCGCATCGTGTGTTTGGTTGCGTGTTTGCAGGTGGGGCGACTGACTGACTGACAGATGCGAGGCGCCTTCTGACTGACTGACTACGGAAAGGATGGCGGCCATTATCTTGGAGCTCCCCGCAGCCCTCCTCCTCGCTGCCCTCCTCCTGCCCTTCCTCGCCCTCTACTACGCCATCACAGCCATATCGGACCTTTGCTTCCGTATGCTGACGTTGCTGCTGCGCCGATCCCGCGAGCCGTTCACGCCTCTGACGGGGCAGGAGATCCAGTTCCTCACCGACGAGCGCTTCCTGATCAATGCGACAGTTGTGGCGGACGGCAGCCTCACGGCCGAGTCGCTCAGGGAGATGGTGGGGCGACGGTGGCTCGGGTGCGATGTGTACGGGCGGCTCAAGCACCCGCGGCTGCACTGCGCTGTGCAAAGACGGCTGTGGAAGCTCGGGTGGGTGCAGTCCGACGCGATGGACATGGACCACCATGTGGTCAAGGTGCCGATCGGCGATGCTCAGGAGGATGGGGGCGAGGGTGAGAATGGCGCGCTGACGAAGAGGGAGCTGGAGGGTTGGATCAACAGGGTGGCGGGGACGCCTTTCGGCCGCGGCCGGCCGGCGTGGCAGGTGTTGGTGCTAGAGGGGGTGACGATTGTGGACCACGATGAGGCCGAGCTCCGCGTCAAGCCGTCGTCCGTCGTCCTGCTCCGCTTCCACCACTCGATCGTTGACGGCATCGCCCTTTTCCAGATGCTCCTCCCAGCCCTGCTCGACCCACAATCGGCCGCAGTAGCCTCGTACACAGCCCCATCCCCCCAGCCCACAGGCACCTCCCCCACACCCACGCTTGCTGACACCATCACCACCTATGTGATGGCCCCATTGGTCACGCTGGTCTACTACCTCTGCGACGCCCAGAAGCAACTCTCCTTCGACACGCCAGGCGCGAGACGGAGTGCGAGATCCCGCGACCATCGCATGACCTGCACCCTGCCATTGTCCATCAGCCTGAACGAAGCCAAGAGAGTCAAGACGCTCCTTGGTGGTGGTGGTGGTGGCGGCAAGGGCAAGCAGAAGAAGCGTGGTGCCAAGCTGACGCTGAACGACCTGATGGTGAGCTGCCTGAGCGGGGCGTATGTGCGGTACGCGGAGAAGGTGCAGCGCGGCACGTCAGGCTGGCGGCTGGACAGTGGTGCAACCAAGGAGTTCGTGTCTCTGCCGCTGCCGATGGCACCCGCCGCTGCTGCTGACGGGAGGGGAGAGAGGATGGAGGTCGAGACCGCATCGGTGAGCCGCCACACAACACAAACACACCCCACAGCCCGAGGCGCGTCGTTCCCATCTCTCTGTCTCTCTTAATTTCTGTCGTCAGGTGCGCACCGATCCAGAAGAGGTCTTCCCCGCCACAGCCACAGCCACCCCCTCGTCAACTCTCTCCCCCGCCATCACATTCCACGAGGAAGACACCATCGCCACATACGCCCCCGCAATCACCCTCCCACCCCCCGCACCACCCACTCCTCCACCCACACCCGCAGAACCGGCAGACAACGCCGATAATGGCGATTGCAGCTGCAGCCCCTCCCTCTCCGACGACGAGAAGAAACCCGTGGCCATCGTCGGGCACGCGCCTCATGCGACGGTGATGGGCAAGCTGGGCATCTGCATGCCCAAGAATACGCGCACCGGCCCCCCGTCGACCATCGGCAACCAATGGTCCTGCAACCTGCTCAACATCCCGACCTGTCCGGGCCACTCTGCGGCCGACCGGGCGAGGGCCGTGTCGGTGCGGCTGCATCGCTTCTTCAACCGTCAGCCCTTGCTGGGGCGGTCGGCGGACCTGGGGGCGTTTGGGTATCTGCCGATGGTTGAGCGAGTGACGCTTGTGGTGGAGGGGGTGCTGTTTGCCATGCCCACGTGGCTGAGCGGACTTTTTGTCAGGGAGCTGTTCGAATGCGTACGTGACCCC